TTGAAGGCCCTCCTCAAGAAGGAGGGGTTGGCTGGACCGAGGCAGACCGCTGCCGCTTCATCATCGCCTCAAGCACGCCCCTTACCACTGCGGCCAAGGTGCTGGTCTTGCCCGACTTCACGCGACCGTTCATCGTGGAGTGTGACGCCTCCACCTATGGCTTCGGGGTTGTCCTCCTTCAAGATCAGCACCCAGTGGCGTTCTTCAACAGTGAGCCCTTGGCGCCCAAAGCATCAGTCCCTTGTAGCTTATGAGCCGGAGGCGAGTAGGCTGGTGCTCACCATCCGCCACTAGTGGCCCTATCTTTGGGGCCACCATTTCTGGTACTGAATCGATCATTTTAGCCTCAAATTTACATTAGACCAGCGCCTAGCAACCATTCCGCAGCACCACTTGGGTGGGCAAACTCTTTGAGCTTGATTTCTCGGTCGAATACAAGACGAAAGCAGCACCAACACGATGGTAGACCTTTGAAAGCTCTAGTTTGGTTTTGGTGAATTGATGAAACCCTAAGTGCTAACCTAGTTTATCAAGTGATCATGAGATAGGTAGCACACTCCAAGTGGTGAAGCAAATGAAGATCATAGCATGATGATGATGATGGCATGGTGATGATCAAGTGCTTCAACTTGGAAAGAAGAAAGAGAAAAACAAAAAGCTCAAGGCAAAGGTATATTTTGTAGGAGCTATTTTGTTTTGGTGATCAAGACACTTAGAGAGTGTGATCACATTTAGGTTTGATAGCCGTACTATTAAGAGGGGTGAAACTCGTATCGGAATGCGGTTATCAAAGTGCCACTAGATGCTCTAACTCATTGCATATGCATTTAGGATCTAGTGGAGTGCTAACATCCTTGAAAATGTTTGTGAAAATATGCTAACACATGTGCACAAAGTGATACACTTGGTGGTTGGCACATTTGATCAAGGGTGGTGAAGTTTGGGTGCAAGGGTAAGAAACTCCACGGTAGAGTGTCCTTAAGTAGAGTGCGGACGGTCCGGCCAGATGCCACCGGCGCCCTAAACAGAAAAGACGGAGGTCACCGAAGTGACCGGATGTCGGTCTCGGTTGGACCGGCGTGTCCGGTCGTGTAACAACAAAAGACGACTGGCGTCGGTCTTCGACCGGACGCTGGGTCACTTGGTGACCGGACGCTGGCAGGGTGCGTCCGATCAGTGCTGACGTACGCTGACGTGGGGCACACAGATGAGACACTGTGTGATCGGACGCTGGCTGTGTCCGGTCAAGCATGACCGGACGCGTCCGGTCGGAAAAAATCGTGTTTGGAACCTTACTGGAAATGACCGGACGCTAAGGTCCAGCGTCCGGTCACTTTCTAACTGACGCGTCTGGTCAACAGACGACCATTGAAATCTGACGAACAGTATTTGAAGCAGGGGACACGTGGCGTGAATCACGTGACCGGACACTGAGGGCCAGCGTCCGGTCGATCGGACCGGAGCGTCCGGTCGATCGGACCGGAGCGTCCGGTCACCCCGCGTTGTGCCCAGTGAAGGGGTATAACGGCTCTATTTCGTGGGGGCTTCTATTTAAGCCCCATGGCCAGCTCAAGCTCACTCTCTTGGCCATTTGCATTGACATAGCAACCTTGTGAGCTTAGCCAAAGCCCTCCCACTCATTTTCATCATAGATTAAACATCTTTGTGTGATTGGGAGAGAATCCAAGTGCATTGCTTGAGTGTTTGCATCTAGAGGCACTTGGTGTTCGTATTTCGCTACGGATTTTGTTTGTTACTCTTGGTGGTTGCCGCCACCTAGACAGCTTGGAGCAGCAAGGATCATTGAGCGGAGGGTGGTGATTGTCTCCGGCTCCGATCATGGTGATTGTGAGGGGTTCTTGACCTTTCCCCGGTGAAGCGTCAAAAGGTACTCTAGTGGATTGCTCATGGCTTGTGTGATCCTCATCTTGTGTTGGTTGTGCGGCACCCTATTGAGGGTTTGGCGTGTGAAGCCAATTAGCGCGTGAACCTTCAAGTGAGTGAATCGCCACAACGAGGACTAGCTTGCCGGCAAGCAAGTGAACCTCAGTAAAAAATCACTGTGTTCATCATTGATTCCGAGGTGATTGGTCTTCATTGTTATTCATCATTGTGATTGATTGGTTCCTTCATCTACATGGTGGTATAACTTTCTTGATCACTCTCTTTACATTACCGCAAACTAGTTGTCAAGCTCTTTAGTGTAGTTAGTTGTGATAGCTTGCTTGCTTGGTTGGTGTGGCTCTTCAGTTAGCTTTTGAGAGCACACTAACATAGGGTAGTGTTATAGCTATTGTGTGAATAGATACTATCTAAACTAGAATTGTGATAGGTGGCTTGCATTTTAAAGTAGGCTAGCGTAACATTTTCTTTGCCTCTTAATTATCTAACCGTGGTGTTAAGTGTTGTTGTAGAATTTTTTATTAGGCTATTCACCCCCCTCTAGCCATTAGGACCTTTCAGACGCGTTGTCCTGCCGCGACACCGAGGAAGCTGCAGTCCTCGCCATCTCCGGGCCGCGCTTCGACTTCATCGACCGTCTTCGTCAGACACATGACTAGGACCCTGCGCTGATCATGCTCAGGGAGGAGCTCGCCAATGATCAGCGCACGGCCCCTTGGTCCCTCGTTCATGGGCTGGTGGCCTTCCAGGGGCGCCTCTACATCCTGCTTGGTGCCCCTCTGCTCCAAGAACTTCTCAGTGCAGTGCACGACGACGGCCATGAAGGTGTCCAGCGCACCCTGCACCGCCTGCGCCGTGACTTCCACTCACCCAACTTGCGCAAGGTGGTCCAGGACTACGTCTGAGCATGCGCCACATGCCAATGCTACAAATCAGAACACCTGCATCTAGTAGGCCTGCTCCTTCCCCTCCTGGTGCCGTCGTCGGTTTGGACCGACATCAGGATGGACTTCATCGAGGTGCTGCCCCGGGTTGGCGGCAAGTCTGTCATCCTCACTGTTGTCGACAGATCAACAGATTCAGTAAGTATTGCCATTTTATCCCATTGGCGCATCCATACTCGGCGGAGTCTGTGGCGCAGGTGTTCTTCACCGACATCGTTTGCCTGCATGGTATCCCGGAATCCATTGTCTCGGATCGGGACCCCGTGTTCACTTGTATCTTTTGAAAATTGCTTATGCGCCTCGCTGGGGTCAAGCTCCACATGACAACGGCGTTCCATCCTCAGTCAGACGGCCAGACCGAGGCAGCCAATAAGGTCATCGTCATGTACCTTCGCTGCCTCACAGGTGATCGTCCTCGACAGTGGCTGCGCTGGCTGCCATGGGCAGAATTCATCTACAACACTGCCTTCCAGTCCGCCCTCAAGACGACGCCGTTCCAGATCGTCTACGGGCGCGCCTCCCTCCTTTCGCTCCTATGAACCAGGCGAGACAAGGGTTGCTACCGTGGCCAAAAGCATGGCTGAACGTGACGAGCTCCTCGCAGATGCCCGCGCTCGCCTGGAGCAAGCCCAGGCGGTCTCAAGCGCTTCTACGACAAGCACCACCGCGACGTTCGCTTTGCTGTTGGGGACTGGGTCTGGCTCCGCCTTCGCCACCGAGCCCTAGCCTCCCGGAACGTGGTCACCAAAGGGAAGTTACGACCCCGTTTCTACGGGCCGTACTGCGTCGCCGCCATCATCAACGACGTCGCCTACCGCCTCGAGCTTCCTCCTCACATCGGGCTGCATGATGTCTTCCATGTCGGGCTGCTCAAGAAGTTTGTGGGGATTCCACCAACCATGCCTCCAGCGCCGCCCCCACCCACCACGGCGCAACGCAGCCTATTCCAGAGCGCGCCACCCGCACTTGCCTGGCCAGAGGTGTGCGGCAGGTGCTGGTGCATTGGCAAGACGAGCATGCAGCATCGGCCACCTGGGAAGACCTCGACAACTTCATCGACCGCTATCCAAGCATCCAGCTCGAGGACGAGCTGTTCGTCGAGGGAGGGAGAGATGTGATGTGGGGGCGCCAATATCAAAGGCGTCCCAGGGCTCGAGATGTGGCCAGAAGGGCCAGAGCGGCATCCAAGGAAGTACCAGCTGTAATCAGTAGCAATTAAGTATTATGGAGAAGGGATTAGAGTAATGAGAGAATGATTAATGGGGAGAGAAACGAGGAGACCAGAGCTAGGCGCCTAGGGGCTGGGCTGCTCTATATAAACTCTGTAATCAGCTTATGATGAATCAATCAAGAAACAAGTTATCTCCTAATCTACCTCTGCTACTCTTAACCTCACCCCCTTCACCATAGGGCGTCTAGGGAACCCTCCTGGCGCCATTACCCAATCAAGTTACGAACTCCGGAGTCGGGGACCTACTGTCTTGGGCACCAACGCCCTTGACAAACAGGGACATGATAGAAATCTGAATATGCAAGAAGGGTATGTTATTGTCATTTTATCTATGGTAATAACCGGATATGCAAGAAGGTTATGGTCCTGTCTTTTTATCTATGGTAGCGAACACCTCAGTGAGCATGTATGGTTCAATGCTGTTATACAGACTTAGATATGGTAGAATTATATATTAAGAGAAGATATGGTTGAGAGTCGTATTAATTGTTGAAAGTTTGGCCGGAACTAGGAAACTGCTTTCGTGCGTAGAATTCTCTTGTACTCACTTTTTTTTTTTGCTTTCATCCCATCTAGCAAAAAAAAAACAATTTCAATAATGAATGAAACATACTCCATATTTATTTTGCATACTATGGATTTGAACACAATAGACTGATTCAGCATGTATTTATATATGATAACGTGCAGAGCGCCAATGTGAGCTTGTCACACTTGATACTTCTATTCCCTTCTCGTCGTTGGTAACAGAAGGTCAATTGAGGAGTGTTCGTGAATCCGCAACAAAAGCGGTTCTCCAAGTAGCTAAAGTTATTCTTAGTCTCTCATCCTATATCGGTATGTAACATATTGCCTCTATTTAGTTTCTCTCTATCCTTTGTTTTTTTCACTAATCTATTATTGCATTTACAGATGGTAAACTGATGGCACGTTCATCTGGTTTTCTTATTGGTTGGGATGAGAAGAGTAGAGAAGGCACTGTTTTAACATCAGCACATATAATCTGCTCAAAATATACGAGCCAGTGGTCAGGTACAGATGAGTATTCACCTAATGCTAAGGTGAGTTCAGAAACAATTGCCATTTTGATATAGACACACAGCTTATGCCGCTATCACTTTATCCTGTTTATATTCTAAATAAGTGTAATACTCATCTTTTGTATCCGCAATTAGGTTGTTACTCATTTGTTGGATGAATACTCGTATTATTGTTGTGATTGTATCATGTTTCTTAAAAAAACTGTAATGTCTATCTTTTGTATCTGTATTCAGGTTGTTGCTCATTTGTTAGATGAAGATGAGACTACTGTGCCTGCACAATTGCTTCATTATGACAAGCACATCAATATGGCTCTGTTTACAGTTGGTATAGAGTCATGTGCTAAAATTCCTGAATTCAATAGTGATGTGAAATATGGTCAGGAAACATTTGTGATGGGTAGAGAAGAAAATCTAAATTTGACTGTTGATTATGAGTTTGTTGGATTTCATGGCCCAAATCTACATGAACGTCCTCACTATATGTTCACTGGTGGTGCAATTAGAAAGGTATAAATGATATTTATCCTGACTTTCTCATAAATTATTATTGATTTATTATCTTGTTTATATTTCTAAATGTTGAGTTTAAATATTTTAGTCTAGCATTGGAGGGCCAGTAATTGACTTCAGTGGGGAAGTTTTGGGGATGGCTAACTTTCCAGGATCAGCTTTTATTCCTTCCTCTATTATATCGAGGTGCTTGGCTATGTGGAAGAAATATCAGTAAGTTCTTGTTTTGCTACTCTAACTGTATGATTTTAGTGATGAACAAATATCTTGAGGAAACATGATAGATTTTGTTGTGTACTTGTGTTAATTAATATATTAGTTCTTAGATTGATAAGTCTCATTTCTGTTGTCTTGTCTATTTTAGACACACATTCACCAAAATTGCTTTTGTTATAAAACTCTTTGTTTTCGTGCACATTTGCCTGTAGCTCAACAGTGTTCGTACTATTCATCTACACTGTTTTGCCTTTTGTTTTTTCCCTGCTTTCTACTCTTGCTTCTTTCCCTGCCATGTAACAAATCGCATGTACATCTACAGTGCTTGCGTTTTTTTTTTGGTTCTCCCTCCCTGTTTTCTTCCCTACCAGTCAACAAATTGGGGTCCTTTTACACGTACTACCTCACCACTACAGTAGTTCTATGAGCCTGTCTTGATTTGGTTTTGCATGCCAAAAAAAACATGGCTTCGGAGACTCCGCTTAGTAAATATACTATTCCTAGTTTCTGGAATCTGATAAATGATAATTTTGCAAGGTATATCCCTCGGCTGCATTTTGGGATGAAGTTTTCACCCATTAAATTTCTAGATCCGATTCATGTGGAGAGGATCTTTCGTAAGTGCAATGTTGATTCAGGTCTAATAGTTGAAGAGGTATATGCTGTGCGCTGTTTCTTGTTATCTTATACACTTTATGCTTTTTCATTATAATATTGAGTAGTGCATGACAAATTGAACTGTAGGTGTCTAATGGATCAGTTGCAGAGGAGCTAGGAGTTAGACGTGGTGATATCATCTACTCCGTAAATGGAAAGTGCATTGCTACCACTGTTGAGGTATTTGAGTAATAGTAGTAAATGTGTTATGTTGAGAAAAAAATATATATCTCATGTTTATGATCTTCTTAATAACTCACATTTACTATTCTTATTACTGCTATTAGTTGGAAAGCTTAAATATGAGCATATGCGAGAATCATCTTGATCAAGGAGGAACCATCGGTTCCTGGATAGACATACCGGTAAGTCCATCAAGACCAGCAGTTTTATTAGATTTCATTTGAAAAAAAAGCCGCCTTCTTAGTTTCTTCGATAAGAGGCCTATCTAATTCAACATAATCAATGTTTGATAGTCTCTGTCTCTCTGACCTGCTAGAAACCTGCGTTAGTTCTAACCATCCTTCATAGAAGTCAGTAGTCTGTAGCATTTTTATGTGAATTCTGCCCCATTAATGATTTCTTCACCATTTTCAGATTTAATATTCTCTCTTTCTTCTATTGAAAGTATTCTGCGCTGTTATCCACGTTCAAACAGCCAAGAGTTTTTTGGTACCAGTATTCTTCCTCAGAATGAAGTTTTTGGCACTCAACTTGAATTTGCTTTTGTTATAAACCAGCATAAAATTGAATTGGCTCATGTTTAAATAACTATTACTCTACTAATTTTCCTAGCTAAACCCACAGGCACTGGTAGTGCATGGTCCCCACATGGATTGAGCCGCAGGTTGTGCACCACAGTCTTGAGGTTTTCTAGACTTAGTTACAATGTCGCATGTCGTCTTAGCCCACTGGAGTTTTTTTTTTAAACAACCCCATCCTTGATAGTTGAAAGTACTTTGAATTTTTATCTTTTATTGGTATTTTATCAATATCAATATTATCTTAACCTGAATAGCTTGTGCCAATTTCTCTTAACTAAGTCAAAATCAGGATGTTGGAGCAAATGCAGCTCAGATTTGAATTTAGGTGGGGTGTTCTAACTGAGATGTATCATTCTTTTCTCATTTCTGATGCACGCTTTCAATCCCAGAAAGAACCTATTGCTTTGTTTTTTACCCTTTAGACTTTGTGATTTAGGGGTATATTCCTTTTTGAAACTTCATATTATATTTTTTCCCTAGATCACTTTTTCTGTGAACTCAAAAGGAATACGCTTGTCTACAAGCTTTTTATACCATTTCAATGACTTGGTGAGATCTCACAGTCATCTCTTATATTAGCACCCATAGATCTAGCTTTTCTGGAACTAGTCTGTTAGTCTTTCAGCAAGGCCCCCTTTGTAATGCGGGATTCTTTTCCTATTTCCTGCTTCTTTTTCCTGTGAACTGAACTATGAAATTCATGTGAAATTCCTGTGTTCCCTTTTTACCACCGTCTTTATCATTTGAAAATTTTCAATTTACAGGTTGGTATATTGCACATGCGGAAAGGTCATAAAGGTCCAAGTCGCACTTTAAGTCTGAGATTAAATGTATCAGATGGCATAGAGGTGTTCGCAAGTCTTCTGACTCCTTTCGACTAGTATGAAACTGCTGTCCAGGTGAATGTCTTGTCTTCTGCTGTCAAGGTTGTTCGATGCTAATATCAAGTGTGATCTTGCCTGGACTGAGTATCTGATTACTGATAATCTGATTCAGTAGCGTTTGTGTATATTCAGCAATGAATAAAATAGCTTATGTTTTCAGTTGATACCCTCTGTTTTAAGTACACAAGAGATTGAATTTCCAGAGCACATGAACTATGATCCAATTGTCTCTGAATTGGTGAAATAATCATCCCTTTTAGTTTTCCTGGTGATGTACTGCAAGTCTGCAACCGTAAAGGCCTTTAGCTTAAGCAAATGATTTTCTTTGCCTTCTTATTTCCATCTTAGTCAACTGCCAATTAATTAAATAGTCTAATCCTTGAGCTTACATATACGACTGCACTATTTGTGATGCTGGCAAATATATAATCCTCTTTTTTGTGTTATTTTTTACCATAAAGACATCTTCTCATAGCTGAATTGTGTCATATGCAAGTGATATTTAGCATTTCTTTTGAATACTAATATTTAATATACAATTGGCTGCCTTGAATTTATTTTTTATGATGCTTTACATTTAACAAATTTTTAAAATTAACCAAACATATCCCCTTTTGGTTTTTTATTTGTTTTTCTAGATGTCGCAGTGTTAGCATGGACAATATACTACTCCCTCCGTTCCAAATAATAAGTCACTTTGACTTCTTTGGTTCATCTATTTTGTTATGTATCTAGACATTATTTATGTAGATGCATACCAAATAGATGTACCAAAAAAGTCAAAGCGACTTTTAATTTGGAACTGAGTGAGTAGTTTGATTAGAGTTCTTTAATCACTTGAGAAGTTAGAGAAATCAGAGAAGCTACGTTTAGGTGTCTTTATATCCTTTTAATTTTAATTTAATAAATAACAGTTTTTCTCACTACTTTCGTAGAGTCGTTACATGAGTTAGCGTTTAGCACTAGCAGGACTTCGCCCAGAAAACTAGAGCTAAAACTCCTCCAAAAAGGGAACCTACATCACTCCTATCTCCCTTCTACGGTTCTAAACTTCTACCCACACCAAAAAAGTTTGGTGAGTGCTTATAGCGGTGATTCTTATGTTAGCACCTGGATGTTCTTCTTCATTGTTATGCTTCCATATCTTAACCCTATGTATGATGATTTTTATGCCCAAGAAATACAGATGTAGCTTATGCTCCCTCTTTCTTGCTGCTACTTGGCACCAACTGTTTGCCTTTTCTTTTACCTTTTCGGCATTTGCATGTGGTTGTTCAATTAGTTCGACCTGTTTTATGTCCATTTTGATTGTATTTCCTTATATTACTAAAAAAATAAATTGTCCATGTTATATATTCTTCCTCAGCCATTATTACTCATCCTTGATAGCTAACCTTTTGTACAGCCTTTGCCGCCTAAACTGTTCATGATGTACAGCCCCTAACACGAGTATGAAACCAAGTCAACATTCGAATGTCATGTATACCAAATCTTTTGATGATGTATCAAACCGCTGTTCTCAGCCTAGGCAGGTACTCCCATTGTATAGTTTTTCCTTCAAACAGATCTGCCTACAGGGCTACACTGACACGACTCTTGCTATTTCAGGTTTAATCTACGGGCGGTTATATTCCATAATACATGCCTATGACGTGAATCCTTTCCTAGAAGGTCATTTTTTTGCCCACAATTTCTTCATAATATCTCCGGCACCGTTTATGAACACAAGACTCTGTTTCTTAATTCCTAAAACTTTTTGTGTGGTTTTTTATACCTTCTTTTCCATACCTACATAACAATTATCAGTTTCTTTAGGTGCAAAGGCTAGAGACTTGATTTCACAAACCTTTTGGTAAATACATATGCAATATTAATTTTCCCTGCCACTCCTGTCTGTCCTTCATAACACTAATAACATTCTGTGTTCCTCAATGCAACTTTTGCTATATTTTCATTAAAAAAATTCTGTATTTGCCTCGTGTCAACTACAAAATTGTATTTCCCTATTTGCCTGGTATTGTATTATGCTGCTGAATCTTTCATACTTGATAGCTATATGTTTACTGCACCCCTACCTGTTTAGGTGCTCAGTAAGGCCTCAGTTGAGTAAAATGCAGTATATGTAGAAACCAAGAATGTGAACTATGTGTAGTTCAACATAAACATAACAGAATGAATCCATACACTCATAGTACCTACCCGCGCGATCTCTTATTTTTGTGAGCCACACTACAACATATGACAGCCAACAATGACACGTGACGGGTGTAGTACCACCAATGCCAACGTGGATTAGATAGACAGTTTTCTAAAAAAAATACTAAATATTACGACAAATAAGTACTTGTCGTAAAATTCACCACAATATGTTATGACGATTTTTGGGTTGCACTATGTGACGAACACAACATTTTATTTTTACGTTATGCTGAACTTGCTCTAGAAAAACATCATAAACTAAACGGTAATGCTAAGGGGCGGGCATCCGTCCGATCGGACGACATCTTCCTGGCCTATGCGGCCCACCAAGCCTGCCTCCTTCTCTTTACGTCTCTCACACTCTCTCTCTCTCAAAAAATATTTACCACTTGCTCGCCCATCGCACGCTTCACGGTGCCGTGAGGCCGTCCGTCCGCCCCACTCTGCATTTGCCGGCGTGGCCATCTCCCAGCACGTGCCCACCCTGTGTTGTTCGCTTCTCGCTCCTGCCCATTGCGCGCGCCCACCAGTGCCTCTTGCTCCTGGCTCCTGGCTCCTGTAGTCCCACCCGCCGCGCGCCCACCCGCGCCGCTCGCTCCTACACTGTCAGGCGCGCCGCGCCACCTCTGCTGGTGCTCGTGGTGCCGTCGCGTGCCTCAGGTCGGTCCCCGGCCAAGCCAAGGGCACCCATGAGCATGGCCCGTGCTGGTGGTTCTCGCGCCCCGAGGCAGTAATCAACCGGCCCCGACCTCCCCTCCCACATGTTGCAAATGTATGTTTCAAGTATTTCAGATGTTTCAGAGAGTATGTTGCAGGTGTTTCATACAGATGTTGCATAAGTAGATCGAGATGTTGCACATGTTGCAAGTATTTCAGAGGCACGTTGCAAGCGTTTGTTCAAATTATTTCATCTGTTTTAGACATATGTGGCAAGCGTTTTTTATCTGGATATTGCATATGTTTCACACCTATGTTGCAAGAGTTTGTTCGAAATGTTTTAACTATTTCAGTCGTATGTTGCAATAAGTGTCTTCATGTTGCAATTTGCAAGTGTTTTATCTGGATGTTGCATATGTTTCACACATATGTTGCAATTGTATGTTCTAAATGTTTCATCTGCTTCAGTCGTATGTTGCATCCAAGTGTTTCATGTTTCAGAGGTAGAGAGTCCTGGGGGCACGGCCTGGGCGCCGAGGGATGGGGTGCGGCGAGCCGTGGGCCGGTGGTCGGGGCACGCAACGCACCTAGGATCCTGCAGATGGGGCGTGCTCGTCCTCATGCTGGCTCTCGGGTCCTGCCTGCTTAGAGATAGAGGAGGGGGTCAAGGGAAAGGAGCGGCAGGCGTAGCCTTTTCCGTGGGCGCGTGTGACGAAGGTGGCACGGGCGTCCGGACACACGCTTTTGTCCGGACGTCCGGGCGCTAGTTGCGATGACATTTCGTGAGTCTCAGTAACCGAAATTGGAAATCCTGGTGGCGTCTTGATAGGAGTCATTCCCGTTTGGTTCCCGTGACTAAACTTTAGACCTTGTCACATCAGATGTATAAATACTAATTTGGAGTATTAAACATAAACTAATTACAAAACTAATTTCACATACCTATACCTATATATTATATTAGATATTCTATGTATTACCCTAGGTACTGATCCCGAGTCCAAATTACCGAGCCCAAATCGCAGACCCGAGCCAACCACGGGCGCTCCCCGTACCGGTTCCCCCCGCTCCCACCTCTGACCAGAGGCAGGTGTTCCCTGTGCCAGTTCCCCCTCCCACCTCTTTTATTGTATCGTATCGATTTTTTTTTGTTTTATAATTCCTGATGAGATCATGGAGAGGAGACGCCAGTTTTGCCCAGCTCGCTGCCCCCTCTGTCGTGCCTGGCGTCGCTCATGACTGAAGAAGGAGATGGCGGGCGTGAAGCAATATTCAGGAGTTGTCATATTCTGTCATTTTACGTTTCTTGATTTCATTTCTGTCCAGTGGACCAAAGTGGTCAGCGTCTGTATTGTGGCTTAAGAGCCCTAACCCTATATCATGTTGGACATTCAAACATTTGCTATTTAGTGAACTCACCAAGGCACAGGGGTTAGCCTCACCAGCGTCATCATATCCGTGCCTATCTTGCTTGTGCTCACGTCGTCGGTGATCACCGATAGCCAGGGGTGTGACAAGTGGTATCAGATTCGTTCTATCCTCGGTGTGGGTGATGAGCAGCCTCCCCTCTTCATCACCGCCATCTATCCCGGCACTCCGCACGCTTTCGACGACCTACCGACGGCGGATCTAGTGGTCCAAAGCCTCCTTCCACATCGCCTCCATCCCAATCCATCGATCCCTCACCAAATCCACAAATCCGGTGGGCAGGTTGATCTTGGTCTGCGCTCTTGCGGTGTTCGACCAGAGGTCCCTCCTTTGGTTGATCGGGTCAGCAAATAGATTCAGCGGCGCCTTCCACCAAATCCACCAAACCCTACCATCTTCATCACTATCTGCGGCGCAAGTGTTCGACTAGGGGACTACACCAACAAATCAGGTTCGGCGGCGAGAACTAAAGTGAGCAATCTCTAATTCTACTCCTTACTTCATCTCTTAGCACACTTGGGTGAACGACGAGGGTTGCGAGGCAGCTGTCTTCGCGTAAAATTCCATATTTGATTCACTCAATTTGGTGCAGTGTCGTTGGTGGGAGAGTGCCCGTGAACTCGGGTTGCGAGACATTTGTTCTCGTGTAAAATTCCAAGGTTCCGCCTCACTCTTGGGCGGCGGTGTTGGTGACAAGCAGCAATCGGGGAGGA